TTTTTTTTTTTTTTGAGATGGAGTCTCGCTCCTGTTGCCCAGGCTGTAGGGCAAAGGTGCGATCGTGGCTCACCGCAACCTCCACCTCCCAGGTTCAAGCAATTCTCCTGTCTCAGGCTCCCATGTAGCTGGGACTATAGGCATGCACCACCATGCCAAGCTAATTTCCTATTTTTAGTAGAGATGGGGTTTCTCCACGTTGGTCAGGCTGGTCTCGAACTCCCAACCTCAGGTGATCCGCCGACCTCAACCTCCCAAAGTGCTGGGAATACAAGCATAAGCCACTGTGCCCAGCTTTTCCAGTACTTCTTACAGAGAATGGCTTTTGATCTTGTCTTAAACCTTTTCTTATAAGTAGGAACAAGTATTTCTTAGGTATGTATATCTTCTAATATAGTTGTCCCAAGTAGATAGATATGTATTAAAACAGGTATTATTCCATTATAAATTACTTAAAAATTTTTATCCCTTATATTACAGTTAAGGCTACGTATAAATATTTTTTAGAGATTGTCAATAGGTTATTTCAGCCACAAATCAGTGTATTAAAGAGGACATTATGAATATTTATTAATAAAAGTGGTATGTTAGATCATCCCCAAGGTCAAGAACTATCACATTAAAGAATTATATACACTTACACCACCCCTAAAACTTTCTCCTGTGCTGGGTGAAAGTTTAAAGTAGATGGCCGCCTCTGCAGAAACCTTACAGACCAGGAGAGAATGAGATAATATTCAAGTACTGAAAGAAAAAAATTGGCAGCTAAGATTACCCACCAAAACCATACTTCAGACATACAGGAGAAATAAAGTATTTCCCAGACACATGGAAACAGAAGAAATTAATCACCTTATGAGAAATGCTCAAGGGAGTCCCACATTTGGAAGATAATCACTCTCATGAAAACACACAAAAAGTATTAATATAAAATTCTGGTAGAGCAGATACACTAAGGGAAAAAAGAAACCTAAGCACTATAGAAACCCACAAAACCATAATGATAAACAATGAGAGAAAGAAAGGAACAATGGATATACAATGCAACCAGAAAGTAATTTTAAAAATGACAGGAATAAGTCCTGATCTATCAGTAATAACCTTGAATATAAGCAGATTAAATTCCCTAATAAAAAGATACAGACTCGCTGAATAGATTTTTTAAAAAATGACCCAACTATCATATGCTGCCTACAAGAAACTTACTTTACCTGCAAAGACACATACAAACTGAAAAGGAAGGGATGGAAAAGACAGTTCACGGAAATGGAAATCCAAAGTGAGCAGAGGTAGCTATACATGTATCAGGCAAGCAGACTTTAAATCAAAAACTATAAAAAAAGACAAAGGGCGTTCTATAATGATAAAGGGACCAATTCAACAAGAGGATATGAGAGTTATAAATATATACCCACCCAACACCAAAGCACCCAGATGTAAAAACAAAATATTATTAGATTAAAAGGGAAAGAGAGACTCCATTTGTAGCTGGGGACCTCAACACCCACTCTCAGGATTGGACATATCATTTAGACAGAAAATCAACAAAGAAACATTGGATTTAAACTGTACTTCAGATGAAATGAACCTAACAGTCATTTACAGAACATTTCATCCAACAGCTTCAGAATATATATTCTTATCATCAGCACATGGAATATTCTCCAGGATAGACCACATATTAAGACTCAAAACAAGTCTCAACAAATTTTAAAGAACTGAAGTCATGTCAAATATATTTCCTGAACACAATGGAATAATATGTTCAAATACAATGAAATCAATAAAAGAGGAACTTTCAAAATTGTATAGATGATACATGGAAATTAAATTTGCTCCAGAATGACCAATGGGGAAATTTAAAAATTCCATGAAACAAACGAAAATGGAAACACAATATATTGAAACTTATAAAATATAGCAAAACCGACATTAAAAGGTAACTTTATAGCAATAAATGCCTACATCAAAAAAGTGGAAAGATTTTAAATAAATGACTTAATGATATGCTTCAAGAAACCAGAAATGCAAAAACAAAGCAAACCCAAAATTACTAAAAGGAAAGAAATAATAAAGTTCAAAACAGAAATAAACAAAAATGAGGCTAAAAATGAAGATCGATGAAATGAAAAGTTGTTTTTTTGAACGGATAAACAAAATTGACAAACCACTAGCTAAACTAACCAAGAAAAGACCCAAATAAATAAAATCAGAAATGAAGACATTACAACTAATACCACAGAAATACAAAGGACCTTTAGAAATTATTGTAAAC